TTGATATGTGTGCATAATTTTTTCTTTTTAGGATTTTGATGAATTATTTTTACATATGTCAAACTATAATTTTTCAGGAGAGAAGCAATATCCCGAAAGAAGGAAAAAAAAAAAGAAAGGATAAAGGAAATTGATTTTATGTTTTGCAAAATGAGGAGCCACTGAATGGGTCATGAGACTCATGAGACCTATCACTTATCATGCAGTGCTCTATAAAGAAAAAAGAAAAAGATGTTGGATACAGATAGTTACATATTTCTGCTCTTATTGCACATTTAAAGCTTCCATGTGGCAGCAGGTGGCAGAAGTTTTTTTCTCATGGCTGGGACCATTATGTGATTGGTTGAGAGATGGAGAGATTCAATTGCAAAAATTCATTATCATGGGTCATCAAAGAGAGCCAAGACAAAGAAGCTTTCATCCATTTCCATGCTCTACTAACAACCATAATAAATTTGGCAGTGAGAAAACTGTATTAGCTTTAAGCAAAGGCCATCTTTTTTTCCTTTGCTGCCTACATATATATACCATTTCGTGGTTCCTTTGAAATGTTCTTCTACAGCTTCTTATCGAAGAAAAACAATGGCTGGTGCACCACCTGCACAAAGGATGTCATGCTGTGATCAGGTCCAGAAGCGCAAGGAGGAGAAAGGCTCCTTCTATTCTTGGTTTGTTTATCATTAATCTTCACTTCCAATTTCCTCCATAATCTTCGTCTTATGCATTACTTATGATTGGATTGCATTTTATGTTGCAGTTTGTTTGCATTTTTCTGCTGCTGTTGCTGCTATAAGACTTGTGAACCTTGCTTAAACGGCGTCTGCTGTTGCTGCCCTTAGATCTCTATACTTCAATATATGTGCTACTGATTGTATGAGGAAAATCATGAGTTATTATGTGAATAATAAAATATGATTCTTTTCATTCGAGTAGAGTTACACTTCACATTACATTTTTACATTGACATTTTTCCCCATTACATGATGCTTCTCTAACAAGCAAATGACATCTCCAATATATCAAAATTGGACTTTAATGGCTCATAGTCACCTAGTTTCCAAGGATAGGGTTCCTTCCCTCATCAATTTCTACGAGGACGAGGCGCTTTGGGTCCGACCCTTCTGGTCCTTCCGAGTAAAGGGTGGGAAGGTAAGCATTGTATGCTGGCAAGTACCGTGAAACAAAATCTTTTACCTGCAAAACAAGCTCTCAAAAAGCATCAGTTTCAGGTTA